TTACTAAAAGCAGAATTGATAGAAATACCAAGTGAAATAATGACACAAGAAATTGTAATAAGAAATATGAAAGATCTTATGAGATATTGTTGAGATCATTCTGGAGAATACATGAATATAGAAATACCAGAAGAAGAAGACTCTCAGGAGAGTGAAGGATTTGAAGAAATTCTCACCTGAACAATAGGTTGAAAGTTATTAAAACTTAGCTTAATATTTATTTTTTTTAATGAATGTTTCTATTTCCCGTCATTTGTTTCTATTTTAATATATTATAAAGAAAAAAGTTGACTTTGCCACGTTTAATCTACTAAAAAAAGAATGCTCTTGTTGACTTTTCGTTAAACAAACCTCAAGATTGTTTTAGTGAGATGAAATAGTTTGAATTATAAAAGGATCTTTAAAAGAATGTAATTAGTTAAATTAGTATGACAATACAATCTGCTCATTTTCATAGAATAATGAAACAAGTTCTTTCTCATAACCTTTTGCCTGTTTCACTTTCTTCTTCTTTTGGAAAAAGTCAACGGGTATTAGAATTTTATTCATATGGAGTATTAAAAGAAAAAATCACACACAAAATAGTTCAGTCTTTCACAGTATGTGATCCTTGTTTCTTTACAGAATTTAGGGATGCATGTATGGCAGCACGAGAAGATGTATTTGACGAGTTATTAAAACCTTATATATCTCCAAGATGTGAGCGAGGAAAATATGTTAGTATGATTATTGCTGAATGTACTTTAGTAATTCAGACATGTAATTCAAGTAATAAAAATATTTTAAATTCATTACAACAATTTTTGGTGAATTGTTTGTTTATATCAGGATGTAATAATTATTTTAATTCTAAATTTGTTGTTGCTTCTCCTGATAGAAGTTTTAAACGTTCACAATCTCCAGCTGTATGGAATTATCATTTAGAGCAAATGTTTGCTTAATTTTGTTTATATTATTAATTTAATTGGAAAAACGAAAATTCAAAGAATATTTTAATTAATTTTGTGTTTTTTTTATTTTATTTACTTGTTGTTTTAAACGTTTATTTTCTTCATACAAAGATTTTAATACAGAAAGGAGTGTAGGAATTTCTTCTCGTGGGAAATTATCAGAAGATGATTGTAACATATGATAAAGTTGTTTTTGTGGCTCTTCTGTTTTTGTTACGTCAAATAAAGTAAGTAAATGAGCTGGAAGAATAGTTGGACAACGTTGTTTAATTGAATATTGATAAGAGTCTTTTGTTTGCTGGATAAATTGTTGGTAAACCTCATTTTCTTCAAAATGTAATGAGTTTTCATTCATTTGAGTAATAAAAGACACTGCAGCTACAAAATTACAGAAATAACATGAATGAGCTCCTCTAGTAGTTTCAGCAAAAGTCATAACGTATTTTACTGTTGAACTTAGATGAGGTAAATTTGCTTTTAATAAAGTATAAATAACAATAGGAACAAAACTATCTCCACTTACATTCCCAGTGACAAAAATTATTGTCATTTCAACAATACGTAATGCAATATAAATATATGCTAATTTATCTTGAGCAGTTCTAACAGAATCTATTTGTTTTAAACAATTTATAGCATAACTTAGAGGTTCCACACTCTTATTTTCATCAAAGTCAACATCTAATAACTCTGGTGTAATAAATTGATGTTCTATAACTTTATTCATTATAAGATGATCTTCTTCAACTTCTTTAAGATTCATTTTTTCAATTGTATTAATACTTGGTGGCCAAATATATTTAAATACCCTAGTATATAATAGTCTTTGAAGAACAGTGAAGTATTGTTTATCTTCACCAATTCCAATTTTTAATCTTTTCAATGTAATAAGCATCTCTTTTATAAACTTCTCAATAACTTCTTTTCGTTCATCTAAATTCATTCCTTTAACCATTTCTCCAAAGCCGACTACAAATTGGTCAATTTGGATTGAAACTTCTTTTATTTTAAGAATTTTTTGATATATCTTCTTTTGTACTTCATTATTATTATTTAATTCTTTTCTTCGTTCATCATCTAGTGGTGATACAAATTTTGGTTGAAACTTATCATTTAACATCATTTTGTCAATTCGTTGTTGATCAATAAATCCAGGAATTGAATTTTTAATTGTTTCAACACTTTCATCTAATGATAATTCAATAGTATATTCATTAAAAGATAATGGTGCATTTCCATCCATTAATTTCCATGCCCAACTACATCCATGTTGATAGATTGGTGATTTTGTTAATAAAATATTTAATTGAGATTGGTTTGTTTCTTTTCCAATATATGCCTCAATACCAATGATATTTGTTGAGAATATAGGAGCACTTGTTTTAGATATACTTTTTACTGTTTCAATAGCCTCATCAAATCGTTCAAAGTCTGTTCCATTAAAGTCTTTAACGTCACTCATAAAAACTCTTAAACTAGAATTAGAAATAATTCCTGGTATTTGAGTTAAAGTTATAAAGTGTAATGATTCTTTATCAAGTAAAATAAAATGAGAATAGAAGAAATCTTTTGTCAAATCAATATCATTGATACAATATACTGGTGGTAATATTAATATTGCATTTAATTTAAGAGCGTCTTGTAAAATAGAAATATTAGTTGTTATTAATGATCGAAATATAGGATGAGTAATAACTAATAATGAGTTATGATATTCAATTTTGTTAACATATTCAATTTGAATAGAATTATTTTGTAATTCACTTAAAACTTCACTTGAAGGAATATTTTCAATAGTGACAGTAGGAATATTTTCTGAAGTAAGAGATTTTTGTTGAATTTGACTGTTATTATTTTCTTCTTTAATTTGTGAATATTTTTCAAAGTTTAATGGGACACCTTTAACAAAAATGAATGACTGTGATTGAATTTTCTTTCGATTAATACGTGTTTGTTTGTCTATAACAGTTAATTTCTTTTTATATTTTGGTGCGTCATACAATGGTTTATCTCCAAGAGAATATTTAGGTTTTGGGGGAGGTGTTACTGGATGTGATATATCCTTAATCAATAAGCATTGATCATATCCTTCTGACAATCTTTTTTTTTCAATGGAATTACTTTTATGAATTGTTTTTTTTCCTGGAGAAGGAGGTGCTTTTTCAGGTTTAGGAGGAACATATTTTTTATTTTCTATTGAAACGATATCACTTCGTTGAACTTGAATAGAAGAATTATTAATTTCATTTTCTTCAGAATGAAATGAAGAAATGTTTGGTATTTCATTAAATTGAATAGTTTGTGATATCTCACTATTAGTAATATCACTAGTCCCCTCTGACTGAATATGATTAGTTATTACAAGAGGGTCTTGTTGCATGGATAGAAATTTTTTTGATTAATAAGTTTTTAAAAAAGAAATTTTAACGAAAAATAAGAAAAGTTGAATTTTTAATAATTTCAATATGATGATTTTTCTTCTTCTTTTTTCAAAAGATTTTATCATTTTATAATAAATGAAAATTCTTGTTACAAATATATATTTTTTTAAATTAGAGATATTTTATTGTGTGTTTATAATTGTTTTTAATGAATTAATTATTGAAGATATTAAGAGCCTTTGTTTTGGATTTTGTGTCCATGAATGAGTTATTATTGAATAAAGACTTTCTGGAATTAAAGGTGGTTGTTCTAATCTTTTTCCTGATGTAATAAATTCTGCTATTTTCCATGGAAAACCAAATCTTTCATCATTTTTTGGAAATGGGTCATTCCATTGACCAACTTCATACATAGTAATTGCAAATGAATATATATCAGCTTCCTTTTTATATTTTTCTTGATTAAGAACTTCTGGTGCCATATATATTGGTGTTCCAATTCCTTTGGTAAATGTCATATTAGTCATTAACATATTAATATTTCTTGAACTTCCAAAATCTGTTAGTTTAGTCATTACAGTATTCTTTTCATCAAAAGACATTACTAAAATATTATCTGGTTTAATGTCACGATGTAATATATTATTGTTATGAAGATATTGAATTCCTTTAGCAGCATCAAGAAGAAATCTTAAACGGATTGCTAATTTTGGAATGCTTTCTTTCTTCTTTACAATAAGTTCTCTAATTGATCCATACTCTGCATATTCTGTAACTATACAAATATGGTCTTTTAAACAACATGCTCCAAAGAAATTAATAATATAATCACATCTAAATTTATCTAACATAGAAACTTCTTTCTCAAATTCCTCCATAACTTCTTCATTATCTTCTAAATTCTTCATTTTTTTTATTGCAACTTTCCTTCCTCTAAATATTCCTTCATAAACAATACCAAATGAACCTTCTCCTTTTTTCTTTATTTCTTTAAATTCAGTATAGTCTAATCTTGTTGATAATTTCGTTTTGAATGATATTTGAATAGTACAGGTTTGTTCAATTTTTGTACGAATATTTTTTGAAGTAATAACCATCTGATCTTCAACAGTACAGGAACATAATGGTGTAACAAATACATCAAATTCACATCCTTTTCCTTTTGGAATAGTGACTATTTGAGGATTAGTTCTTAATAAATATCTGTTATTTTCTTCTTTGGTTGTTAATTGAACTTTAATTGTTTCTTTAGTTGAATTTGCAATACAAAGAATTTCTCTTATTTCTTTTCCAACACTCAGCTCAGGAAAATCATCATCATTTTCTTCTTTAAATTTTATTATACTTTTATTTACCATTATTTGGTTATTATAAGGTAGTGACATAAATACAATATTACAATATCTTATATTAAAGAAACTATTTTCTTTTTCATATTGTTTTTGTGTTTTATATCTATAATATGTTCTACTGAACCATCCAATAATTATTAAAATAATAATAGTTATTGAGAGAATCACCAATATGACTAATATAATTACCCACCATACAGGAGATCTTTGACAATATGTCCCATCATTGCTAGGTTGATACCAGAAACTACATTGTGAACAAATCCTTTTTTCAACTGAAATACAATGACTTAATTGTGATAATGGTATGCATTGATAATTTTTCAATATTCCATCAGTACATGAAATGCATTGATAAGAATTACATTCAGAGCACCCTTCATAAATATAAGAACAATGAATGCATTCTTTATTTTTTAAAGTATAACCAATATTACATTCTTCACACCCAGTAGATGTCTTTAATTTACAATTTTTTAATAATTCATAAGAAAGACATGACCCATTCATCGAAAGATAATAATTTTCATTACATTCTAAACATTGTAAATCTGTTTGACATGATGAACAATGACTTTTACATTTTTTACATAATGAAGATGATCTGTAATATCCTTTCATACAGACAGCACATCCTTCATTATTAGAAAATAAAAATTGACAGTTTTGTATAACTAAAGAAGATAAAACACATGACCCATTAATAGAAGTATATCCATTCTCACATTTAAAGCAATACTCCGAATTTAAACAATCTAAACAATGTTCAGGACAAGCCTTACAATCATAATTTGAGACATACATTTTATTAGTACATTTTACACAAAGTCCATGAACATATTGTTCACAATTTGTAACATTTTCTTTATTTATACATTGACCTAAAGAATTTAAAATATAACCAGAAAAACATTCAACACATTTATTGTTAACGCAATATTTGCAATTTTCATTGCAATAAATACAGTCAGTTCCATCAAAATATTTTGCTTTATCATTACAAGAAATAAAATGACTATGACTTGACACACAATCAACATATGAACATGACTTACCAGTTGTAACAATTTCACTAGAATTAAAACAACTATAACACTCTTGAGAAGAACACATTGAACATCCATCAAATTTGGATGAACATAAAAGACATCGACCATTTTCTAAAAAATATCCATTAGAACATGAAATAATTGATGTTGCTGTAACAACAGTTTCACTGTTTGTTTTCTTAATACAAATACCATTAATATTAATATAATTATCTTCACAAATAATACACTTTTTTGATGTACATTGGATGCAATGCTCTTCACAAGAAAGACATTGTGTTCCATCTGAATAAAAACCTTCAGAACATGATACTACTTTGTTCGATACTACTTTTAACTCTTCATTTTTCTGACATCTTCCATAGCTGTCAATTTGATAATAATCATCACATAATACACATTTATTATTTATACATCTACGGCAGTTGGTAGGACATAAAGAACATATACCATTAATAAATTCATAATGTTCACTGCACTCATCACAAGTATACTTACTTTTCTTTGTACAATATGGGATATCAATTACTTCATAATTAACACAAGTTCCATTAAGAATAATTCCATCACAAACCAAACATGATACTTCATTGTTCATTATATAATATGAAGAACAATATGATATTGTTTTTGTTGAATGAATTATTTCATTTATTAGGTTAAATGGTTGTTCAGATGTAACAACACTATCTAACGAATTTTTAAAAAGAACATTTATATTTTTTGTTTGTGAAGGAAAGTAAACAAAGGAATAATTTGCAGTAATTCTAAGTGAAAAATTAAAATCATCTGGTTTAATAACCAAATGACTATCGTTAATCTGTACTATCCCTTCAAATGAATGATCAATATCTAAAAAAGATATTGAAGGTAATAATTGAACAACACAATTTGAAGAATAACATGGACAATATACTTCTTTATAATTTCCATTTGATAATGAACCAGAAACTAAAGTACAATAAACACTATCATCCAATTGTATTGCTGGACATATACGAACTAGTTTATTAGAAGATAAATAAATCATTCTATTATTTAAGAATGAAGAATTAATCATTTTAAATGTAGTTGGAGATACAACAAAGTTAACACATGTCTGTACTGAATACATTGTTGGAAAGTGTAAAGAACTATTCTCATTTAACGAAATGACACTTTCTGATTTAATATTGAAAAAATCATTTTTACTAATAAATTGTTCTATTTCAAAATTTCCATTTACCTTAATTCTAGTATGAGAATCTACTTGTAATGTCTTACAAAACAAAGAACCATTAATAAAAATATTATACCCATTAAATGAACAAAATTTAATTGAAAGAATTTTACTATTTGTGTTGAAATAAGTATTTTGTTCTATTGTCACGTTATTCCAATATTCATTTGATTGAATTTCATATAAATTGAAATTAATTCTTAAATTTAAAGTATTACTAGGATATAATTTATAATTATAACAATCAATAAACTGTTTTAGTGTTGAGTCTATATAATTTGATCCATCAAAAATACATTGGCACATAAAAAATGCACCTTTTGGGACAAATCTATTTCCACAAGTCATTACATTATTAAGCAAAAACTGTGACTCAAAATGATTTATTATTCTTGTAAATAAAATTACCTCTTGTGAATGAATAGATGAAATATCTATTTCATTATTTATTTGAATATCATTAAAGATACAATATGAAGGTGAAATTACAGTTAAAGAAGAAACAATAACAATACCATTAAATATAATTTCATTTGAAGAAGATAGGACAAGAGTTTTTACAATTAATTTACCGATAGAACTTATATCAATAACCTTTGTTTTTGTTTTAAAATTAATTGAATTCCAATGGTTTAAATCTTTTAATTGAATAGTTTCAAAATTTGGAAGATTTAAATCATACATTGAAGAATTTTTAACACAATCAGGATAATTCCAGTTAGATAAAACTGAAATATTTGGTGTTGAAGTTGTTAGTGAACAATTACAATCAGATAATGGTTCAATTAATTCATAAATAACATATCTACCATTTCCATTTCTATTACAAACATTAGAAATAGAATAAGATGATGTTATCACTGAATAAATGTTATGACCAGTGAATAAATATTTTGGAAGGTTACTTTGATAAGAAGAACTAAAATCAAATGTTAATGTTTGAGCTGAATCCCCATCAATCATAATGTATCTAGTAGTAGAATCCGTTTCAATAATAAAATAAAATTTCTGATTTATATCAGAATAGATATTAATATTAGAATTATAAATATGAATATTTGGTTTTGATGAATCAGCAACTTTTGTTCTACATCCATCTATACCAAAACAACCAAATGTTAATACAAATTTATCTGGAATAACTTTCATAAATAGAAATAACAATCCTTCAGAATGTACAGTTCTTAATCCAAATGACTTCATTGTTGATGTTGGCTCTTCAAAGTGTAGATATTTTGGAGACTTCCCAGTAGTATCAAAGTCTTGAAAAATGGTATTCTCTAAAGTACAACAACCATTTCTAAAATAAAATACATCACTCTTTTTAGTTCCAATTTTTATATATTCATGAGTCCATCCATTTCGTTCAATACCTACTGGAAAATAACCAATAACTCCATTACTCTCAGTCCATTCATTTGATCTTGCATAAAAAATATTACTAAATACAAAAAGTAAAATACTAATGAACATCTAATTAAGATAACTAGTTTCTTATCTTAAATAATCCACAAAACAGCCACTTCCTATTGAACTTCGTTTTTCGAAAACTGTTTTGTCTAAAAATAAAACAGAATCATGAATTACAACAAAAAAAAAATTAATACAATCCATTAATGGTTTTATTAATCAGAAAAAAAAGTATTGAAAAATCTTTTCAATATCTCTTAAAAGTACGTTAATAGGCATAACAGGCAAAAAAAAATTATTAAAAATGTTCAAATGAAAACAACATAAATCAAATAAAAATGTTATTCATCACAAAATGAAAAAATAAAAATATTAGAAAAAAACTAAAAAACAAAGAACAGAGAGATGAGTAATAAAGTAGCTGTGATTAATTTGAAACCAGAAGAATTTAAAGAAATTGTTCATACATTAAAACATCATATAACCAATGGGAGATTAAACAAAAAAGAAAATGTTGAATATGAGCCAATAAATGAACATGAAACACAAAGAATTACAATTATACATAAATATGGGTCTATAGATATTGAACTAGTTCCACTTCAAAGTATAGAAGAAGGAATAGAAGATGAATGGGGAGGATATATCTGCGAAGAAAATACTCCAAACTATCAAAAAATAACTCAATATAATGCTGGAGAATTAAATATGATTATCGGAAATGGTAAATTACTTGATTGGTGCATTGATAATGGTATTGAATATGTGGACAGACAAGCAATAGAAGATGAAAATAACGCAGAAGGAATAGACAGAATTGCAGAGGCTATTGCAAATAACCCATGGAACTTCTCTCAACAACCTCAGAGATATAATGAAGATCTATTATTACAACCACCACAACTACCAAATACTTCAAAGCAAGAACTAACAAAATCAAGTAATGAAACAACTCAAAGTGATGAAAAAGATTTGACATTAGAGACTGCACTAAATAAATTATTAGATTATAAACGAAAGGCTGCTCAAACAACTGATATGAATGAGAGAAGAAAATTAGCAGAGGAAGCAGCTCTACTAATGGCACAATTTATGGGAGACTCGAGTGAAGAAGATGATTAATTTTATTAATAACATATCTTTAACTTCTTTGTTTAACTTTAAAATAGAGACTCAATGAAGTGAAATTCATTGCAATTACATTAAAATGAGAAAATAGTTTTCACCATAATCCTGCTTTTTGTTTTTCTGTTTGCTGTTTCCATTGTTTCCATGATTTAAACATATCAAACGTAACATCAAATAATTCGATAAAATCTTCGTCTGACAAATGAAACTAAAAATGTTAAGTTTTTCTTCTTAATTTGACTTCATTTTAATATTAAAAATAACAACAAACTACTAAGTCATCTTTGGCAATCCCATCTGGTTTATTTTCTAATTCTCTAAAAGAATAAACCTCTAGCCCAAGTGAATTAAGCGTTCTTTTACCATCTACTAATTGAACATTTTTTTCTCTTAACATATTCTTTGTTAAATCATTATTTCCACCATGTTTTGATACTTTTAATGTAATTTCAGCACATGAAGATCTACGATCTCTTTTTGAAGCATCTCCTTTACTAGTATTAACAGAAATAGTTAATTTAGGTTTAATTGAAGAAGGACTATCAGTTCCACTTACAGAACCCTTTCTTGAACATTCTGATTGTCTATCATTTTTATATTCTTCAATACTTTTAATATTATCAGTTGGAATTTCAGAACATCTATTCTTTTTTTCCATAGGAACTTTTAATAAAGAAGAATTAAATGGTAACTGATCATTAGTTAATGCAATAGGTCTTTTTGAATAAATAGACATCCTTCCTCCTTTATCTTTTCTTCTTTTCATTAATTCTTCTTCTGGGTCAATACTTCTATCGATATCACCAGAATGTAATTCTATTGTCCTATGAACTACACAACTTTCCGTTAATGGGAAGTTAGGAACTGAAGCAGATTGTAACTTTTTGAGGTCATTAACCATTCTAATTAATCCACCATCAGGAACAAGTTCAGTTCCTTGTAATTTTATTTTACTTTTAGTCCTTACTCTAATTTTAATTGAATCTTTTTTTGAGTTACAAGGAAGAAGAGTAATTCTTGATATTGGAAAGACAAATCTAATTAAATTTTCTTTATTTGCTATTGCAAGTAAATTTTGTGTTAGAACAGCTGATACTGGACATCCTTTTAATTTAAAATCAGTTATATATAATATCTCTTCATTTGTTATATCTCCAAATTTTCCTGGTTTAAATTTATCAAATAATTTTGGTTTAATTCTTTCACTGTCTGCTTTGGTTTTAGTTTCATCTATTGTAGTAGTTACTTTTTTAATAAGATTAACCATTTCAACAAGATTATTTGCATCTGGATGATCATTCCATGTATGTTTTTTTAATTCATTTAATAATAAAACATACCTTGGAAGTCTTTGAATTGGCATAATTAAATATGATGACATATCCTTATCATTCCCTTTTTCTTTCATTAGTGCATCTCTGACACATTCAATACATAAAATTTGTTCTACTCGTTCTATAGACTCAGAATAATTAACAAGATAAGGAGTATAAACACTAAGTGCACCTTCAAGTTCTTTATAAACATTAATCCATGGTTTATTTGGTTTCATATCTTCAGTAGCTTTCTTCAAGTCATTTAAAAACTTAGAGTTAAATTGATAAATTTCTTCCATATTATTAAAAATTATTTGAACACTATCCTTCTTTAATGCACCATTCTCAACAAAACTTTGAATAATTGGTCTATATTTATCAATACCCTCTTTAAGATAATGGACATAATCATCTTCTGTTTTAACCATTTCTTGTGTAACTTTAATTCTAAATGCATTCTTTTTTTTTAATGAATTCATTTCATTTTTTGCAGAAAATCTTCTGAAATAAGCTTGTGCCTTAGCAATAGTACCTTCAAATACATTCACTAATGTGATGAACATATTTTATTAAAATTAGTTAACTAAAATATAACAAACTGTCAAATCCTTTTGTTGTTGACATAAGAAATTGTAATGTAGTTCTAAATACAGAGGCTGAAACTCGAATTTTGCCACCAATAACTGTTCTTTGAATATATTTTAATTGTTCTTTTATATTTTCAGCTTCCTGACCTGAAGGAAGATTTTTTTTAACTTCTTCAATAGGAATTTGTGGAAATGGTTCAATGTTATAGATTTTAAAACATTCTGTAGCAAATAGAAAGACACATTCAACTATTCTAACAATATTCTATTAAATGAATTGACTAACCTAATAAATAAAATATTAACAAACCCCTTTTACAAAATCATCGTGTGTTGCAATTCTTAATAATGGAACGTGCATTTCTTTACATACTTGAAGAAACATATTTAAGTTTTCTAATTGTTTATATGGATGTTTAGAGTCATGAATAACTGGAATAAGATCATCATCAATAGTTTTTGCTAAATAACATAAAATTGTTCCTGATTTAAGTGAATTACATAAATCAGGATTAATAGGTACTTTAAGAATAGTTTCCATCCATGATATTAACATCATTTTCTTCTGAATGAACTGAATGAATTGGTCATCACTTTCCATTTCCCAACCAAACTTAAAACTTTTTTTTAGTTTCTTTTTTTTGTTTTTTGAAAAAGAAGATTAGTATTTTTTACTTGAACTATAAAAATTTTATTTTTTTATTTCAAATTAACTTTCTCTTGTTTTCTAATATTTTTTATTCTTTCTCCTTCTCTCATTACTGTTGATATTTCTCAATAAACTAACAAAATCCTTAACTCTTTCCTTAAATACTTTTTATTCTAAAATAAACATTTAACCAGTAAAACAAACCATTCACTTACCATTGACCATTAAAATCAAAAGAATCTTTTGTTCCTTTCCAAAATAAATCTCCATTTGTTTGTTGAATCTTTGGTGATGAACTTTTTGATTTAGTAGTATTTAATGATGCAAATATATCATCTTTCTTTTGAGAATTTGAATTAAATGAGCTTTCACTTTCAAAATCAAATAATGCTTGACTTTTTGGTTGTGGAGAATGTGTGTTAGATGAATTACTAGTCATAACAATAGTTGTTTGTTTTGTTGAAGGTGTTCCAAAGTCAAATAATGAAGCAGAAGATGATGGCTTAGGTGATTGAGAAATAGTAGTATTACTTGGTTGATTAAATGAGAATAAATCTGTTGAAGTAGTCATTGGGGTATATGATTTCTTTGGATATTCATCAAAAGAAAATAAGTCTGTTGACTTGTTAAGTGATGGTGAAATATTTGAACTACTATTATTAACTGAATTAGTTGAATGAGTCATTGATGAAGATGTTTGACTTTCCCCAGATGTTTTTGGTTGAAGAATAGATGGCTTTTGTTTTAAAGAATCATCAGATTGTGTAGGAATGTCTTTAAAATTATCCCAGAATAATCCAGCAGAACTTGAAGTTGATACTTGTGGCTTCAAAGTTTCTTCTTGAGGTTGAACAGGATTTGGAGATGGTGAAGGAGCATTAGAAGCAACAGGATCAGATTGATCCATTAAGTTGGCATAAGGATTTGGTAAGTTAACTTCTTTAGCTATCATGTCCATAAGTTGGAAAGTGTTAATACGTTCAAAAGGGTCAATAACAAAGATCTTTTCAAAGAATTGAGTCACTTTCTTAGAATAATAATTATTTGGAATAGAGTATTTACAAAATTGAATTCTCATTGGAGATTCTTCAAATGGAGTATCGAAGTAACAAATTTTATATAATATACATCCTAATGCCCAAACATCAGCCTTTCTTCCAATTGGTTTATAGTCATAAAGATTAATCATTTCTGGTGATCGATAAGCTAATGTAGTATATTTTTGAATATTCTCATCAATTATAGGACAATCTCCTTTAGTTCGATTATAAAATTTACTTTCTGGTACAACACTACCGAAATCAGTTAATAAGAACTTTTTATTTTTAAATAATACATTTTCTACTTTTAAGTCTCTATGACACAATGGTGGATTTTGTGAATGCATAAAAGCAACAGCATGACAAATTTGATAAAACATTCTTAAGACAGCTTCTTCTTTTATTGGATTTGGGTATGTTCTTTCTAATACATTAATTGTAGAAACAGGACAATAATCCATCAATAACACTACTTTTTTTTCTGGTTCACTATAGATAGCACTATCAATCAATGGTACAATAAATTCGTTTTTACATAACGCTTTATGTACATTTATTTCTTGTTGAATCCGTTTTAAATCATTTTGGTCACCATAATACATAACTTTCATTGCATATTCTCTATTACTCAGTTGAGAATGGACAAGATAAACTTGTGAAAATCCTCCTTGTCCTAGTTTTCTATCTACAAGGACCTGTTCATGACCGACATTGATAAGAGTATTTCCCATTAAAATTATTATGAGATTTAAGTTCTAATACTTCTTTTTGTTCTATTTTTTTCTTTTTACTACCACCTGAGAGAAACCAACTAATAATTTTATTAAACTATTTTTTATTTATTTTTTATTTATTTCACTTATTATTTAACAAATGTAACCAAAATCTTTAATGAACCTAACTCTTTCTCTATCTGTTCAAATTAGAATTCAATAACTCTACTATTACTACAGTTTGTCCTTTTTTTTCAACAATAAAATTATCAACTCTCTTTTTTTTTCTTTTGATAATATTTCTATTTTTTTGAAGGATCAATTGTACTTGATTTCTAATAACATTTTGTGTTTGAATAAAAGTGTTGTTAGTAAAACCATTAATACTATTATTGATCATTGGTTTCTGTTTTATTAATGTGGTAATAAAAGACATTCTCACAAAATAAATACATTTTAATTGTTTAAATCTTTTATATATGTTATGTATAACACATTCATTAAACCAGAAAGATGAAGAAAATAAAAACCCTGATTCGATGACCAATTTCTAGTTGAGAACTTACTCTTCTGGTGAACTAAAATTATTATATTCAATTGATCATTATGTCAGATATTAATATGACGAAAGAAGAATTAGTTCGTCAGCTTACTGAAATTCGTGCTACATTAGCTGAAGAAATGAAAAAGAATCAAGAACCAAAATCAGAAGAATTAGATAAATTAAAAGATCAAAATGCTCGTTTAGAGTATAGAATAAAACATTTATTGAGGGCATTAGAAGAACAGGATAAAGAAATTGAAGAACTCAAGAAACAAATTAAGAATTGAGTTATATAACAGAAATTTATTTTTGATATTGTTTTTTGTTACTTAAATAAAAATTTTTTGAAATAGAATCATTATTAGAAAAGTTTAAAATAAATTGAATTTTAATTATTAAAATCAAGTGTCGATTTTTCAGTTTGAATAGTATTTTCACTTATATTCGCTGACACTAACTCTTTTAATTTCTTATTTTCTTCTTCAAGTTGTTCACATTTTTGTTTAAATAATGATAACTCTTCTTTTAATTCATTCATTTTGTCTCTTTTCTTGTCTCGGCACATTTTTGAAGACCATCTATTCTGAATTCTTCTTCTGAGTTTTCTTAATTTTTCTTCATCATCACCTGTTATTCTTTCTTTCATTCTTACAGTTTCAATATAACTGTCAAACTCTTCTAAATCCATTTTTTCAAGTTCAGTAAAATCAAATATGTGAATTATACCGTTTGATAAAGGACTAGGAGGAGAGACATTTTGTGGTAGTAAAGGAGATTTTTGTGACGGAGGACTTTCGTTATGTCTGTTAAAAGGATTGTACGGTGCTTCCATGTGTGGTGGAAAACAAATAACTTTTTAGTGATGGCGACACAGTTCATACAATGTTAAATTTGTTAATGGCTTTCATACAATAATAATCTAAGGGTTTTATTCCTGAAAAATCCAAGTAATTTACTGAAGAGTTGTTTGCTTGACTTCCTTGATTTTTAATCTTTTTTCTACCCTTTTTATTGGTTCTTTTCTTTATTAAAAAAATAGAAGAATGTAGATGATTGCAACGCCGTTTTCGAGTTCATGCAAAAACAAAAACATCATTTTTACATTTCGTTGGTTTCTTTGAAAAAATAATGTTATTTCGTTTTTTATTTAATTATGTTTAGACTCAATGATAGCTTGTTTCTTTCTTAGTATTATTTTCTATAATTGTTAATTAAACTAGTGATGAGATTTGAAAGTCAGATTAAATAAATTTTATTTAATTAACTTTTTTTAAATGAAAATAGATCAACTACAAGAATATGTTCTTTGTTAGTATTACCACTGCTAAACTCAGCTTTTAGTATTTATTTAAGAGAATTTAAAAAAAAATGAACATTTATTCTTTTTTTCTATAATGTTAAAAAATACCCAATGAGTGTAAAATAAAGAATATCAATTATTCTATGAACAACTCAACATATTTTAATTATATAATTATTGTAAACATAGATATATGAAGTTGTTATACTTTGTCATTTCGTTTGGCTATTCTATTTTTTGTTTCATAGTTATTTTTATTTATTTAAGACTTCATAGTTATTATTATAGAAAACAATAGTATTGAGAACGGTTTAACAGTTGTTATAATCTAATACTCCAATTAATAGTTTTCAAGACTATACCATACAGTTTTGACAACAAATTAAATATTTAGATAATAATTATTTAGAAAGACAGTTCAACTATCGTAGAGATACTTTTTCTGTCATGCAGTCAGTCAATGACTGATTATATTATAAAATGCTTTATTTAATTCAGTTATATTTTTTATTGATTTTCAATGTTAGTATTTCATACTTAAACAATAAAACTTAATAATTATTTAACAAATACAAGACTTTAATGTTTATATAATAAACTATATTATAATATATTTAGAAATAAAAAATAAAAATAATAGGTTCATAATCTTCATGGAGGATTAATAATTAATTTAATAAACTCATTTAATAATAGAGTTATTATTCGATATTGAACATGATAAAATAGTTATAATTATTAATATATTTACATATACTTGGCAAAATAAAAGAGCTAGAAATGATGTAATAACAAGAGTTATTTGTTGTTTTGTCTTTGATTAGTAAAAATGGATGAAATATAAAAATGATTGTAGTTATTTACTTTCATAGAAAAGGATATTATCAAATAATATTAATCATGAAATTGAAATTAATTGAAATTGTGTAAACAAAGTTATAAGACTCAATTCAAGAAATATATATAGAAATAAACTAATTATATTGATTAATAAAGAAAAATGGGTGAGGGAATAAATAAAAATGATAATATAAATATTGTATCATTTTCAATGAATGATAAAATACAAGAATGTTGTTTTTAAGTATGTACAAATAGAATTTAATAATATAATAAACTTTATTAAGAAAATAAACAAACAATATAATATGTAATCATCTAATTACAAAAATATAAATTGTTTTATATAAGTATATCACAGTCTTTGTGTAAAAATAATGACATTATTTAAAACGAATTAAAAACCAACTCATTTATATTTTAATGAACCATAACATTAAACTAATTATTCTTTTTAATATCTAAAAAAGCAAACTATTTTTAGAAGAATATATCATCAACATAAAACATAATAATAATTTAAATAACGTATTGTTTTATGATTAGAGTTAACGGTTAGTAGTTAAAAAAAATACTATTAGATTTTTACAGAATAATAAATACGAATTATGATAGTGTCATATTGTTAATTTTTTAAAAATTGTTACCATTAAAAAAAAACATTAAAATTAGAGTTATTCCATTAATTCATTTTTTTTGTAAATAACACAAATAAAATTTTATATTTTTATTTTGACTTATAAAAAAATTAATTTATTTAGAAAAACAGTTTAATAAAGTATTTAATTGAATTAATATTTTATGGATAATAAATAAAAACTAAATATGGGTTATTACACAAAAATATATTTTAGTTAACACAACGAAAAATCCATAAAAAAATATTTATTAGTTACAAATGTTATTTCTTCATTAGAAATTAACTTTTTAGTAATGATATAATAATAAATAGACATATAAAATATGGCATTGTAGTTAAATATAACTGACTATATGATTCATTGACTAATTACTATCAAAAATACAATTTCATTCAAAAAATAAAAAATGGTGACAATAAAAATAACTACGAATAAATTATTTAGTCATAAGTTTATAGAATTTTTATTCAACGAAAAGAAAAACAATCAGATAAGTCTTAATTTATATTTATCCATAACAAGTCATTATTATTAAACGAAAAAAAATTGTAAGATATGGTTTGTATAAAAATAATATTGCTCAGAAAAATTTCAGTCTTAAAGAAATAAAACTGATTCTTTTTTCCTTGTAAAGTTTGTAAAAATTAATATTGATTAGTAAAAGTAAATAATATATTTAAAAAAAGTTATAACTAAAATTCTAATTGATTTAATAAATTATTTTTATAGTTCAATTTCAACTTGAGTATTTTTGATCTTAGTTTATTTAAATTTTTCATATTTCGCTCAGATATTAAACACAATTATAAACAAATCAACGTTTATAAAAAAGATTAAACATCAAAAAAAAATTACAAAACGTAAAAATCATAAAACTATCTTCTTAATACAATTAGTCCAGAACTTCCAGTCTCAATATCTGATTTGGTAAGACTATTTTGTGAGTGGTGTTGAAATAATTATAACTACCAATTTTCTCTGAAATAGTTTTATTAACAAAGCTTTTATTAAAATTACTCAACTCTTTTTTTGACTCTGAAACATTTAATCCTAACAAAGATTCAAAAGGCTGTAAAAATAAATGAAGGTGAAACAAAAATAATTAAAGTAATTCTGTCGTGACAAAAAAGAAAATGAAAGTTATTTTATATTTTTAGAAGAAAAAAAATGAACATTTTCTTATTTTTTGAGTTAATTAAACAAATTAAAAATAGTTTTAATAAAAAATATTTAAAAAATGATGACGATGAACGAAAGAAAATTTTTAAAGATTGAACAAACTGTCCCCTAAGAAGAGAGACAATTACCTCAATAAATAATAAAAGGATACGACTCATAAACGAGGGTTTAGAATTAACATTTTCTCATAATAATTTATGAAATATCTGAGTGATTTAACCGATTGAAACAAAACTCTTATTTTAGAAAGGGTTAAGATATAATTCGTCAAATGGATTTAGTAAGAAAAACAATGTTTAGAGATTTTAAAAATAAGAAATACTAAATCACATAGAAGTAAAAAGAACTTAATTCGTTTTAATAACTGATAGCATTTAGTCTATGTTCACATTATATATTATTATACTTTATCTTTTTTTGAGTGAAGTCTCTGCCCAAAATGATCCGTGTATGGTTTGTTCTTTAACATTAATAAAAAGACATAGTTAATCAAATTAACATTACTTTAGAGCCATTTCTTTATCTCAAATGCTAAACATATTGCTGAGCTTACAGGAATTGGACAATATATAATTATAAATGAAGATTGTATGAAAAATATTCCAGACTATCAAAAAGAATCTATTGGACATAGTTTTGGGATGGAATGTTGGGTTTATGAAGATGTATCAATGATTCATAAAGTGTCTCATTCTACATCAAGATGTGGAGAATGTTTAGAGTTAACAGGACCTTCTCAATCACCATTTAGTTGTATTGTTGTTGGTACCTTTTCTGTTAAACAAGAATGTCCTTATACAAAAGAAGATCTTTCAAGAATGATTATAGTAAAAGATGGTTTATTTAAATTAATATCAACTTCAACTTCAGAATCTAATTATGTATTCAGTCAAGTAACTGTTAGACAAGCTGATTGTAATTTTCATTCTCCACCTTTTCTTTATACTCTTAAGAAAAATGAAACTTCTGTAGAGTTACAAATATTAAATAGTGCTGTAGTAATAGAGAAAATAATTATTGATGATAATGACTATCTATCACTACCTAATAGTCATTTTATTGTTCCACTACAAGACAATACTGTTAATATAAAATTGATTGCAGTAGATGGAAGAATATGTAATGTTAATGATGTTAACCTTAATTTAATTGGTTTATATATTGCTAAAGAACAATTTACTCATAGAAAAGTAAATTCATGTCCATTTATGCCTTCAACACAAGTTTATATAAATTCTACTTCAAGAGAGCAAAGTTCCTTTTTTAAATGGATATTTAATCAAGTTAATATTGATTATTCAATAAAACGACTAAACGATACAGATCAATCAATCCATTTTGTTGCTGAAAATGAAAGAACAACACTTGGATTTGGATATCCAACAGTAATTAAAATGTACGATCTTTTTTCTTTAGTAATAGTGGAAATGGAAGTTGAAGGTAATTTACCTAAATATGCTTTTTCCACATTAGGACATGGAAATCAATTTGGGAAAAGTGCTCTTGATGCTGTTTTTGTTTGTAATACAAATATTCCAGTTGAAGTATTTAATACAAAAATAGATGAAACTCATTATTTTATTAGAACAAAACTTTCAATCCCAAAACATTGTTATGGTTATTTAAATGTTATTGCTCTCACATTTGTAACAGTGCCAGGAACAATATTTGATGTTAAAAAGATTACTCTTATTCCAAAAAAACAAAACAATGTAACAGAATGTGGTGTTGAGTCTTTTGATTGTCAATATACTGAATGTACTGACTCTAATACAATTACTCCATTATTTTCTCGTGGGTGTTTTCCAAGATGTGGGTCTTGTAGGAATGGACTTATTTGTTCATCAGGTAAATGTGTAAAAGAAATATCAT